AGTAGAATATGACAGATCTTTTTTTGAAGCAGCCTACAAAGCAAACTAGCTTTTTCTTTAACCATTTTCTGAAGGGCATAAAATACATTAGAATTGTCATGGCTTTACCCTCACTAAAAATCCAGCAGAGTGTGAGAGGAAGGAAGGAGTTAGCTGAGTCTAACAAATGAGAGGATTTTAAATAACTTGTCCCCTGCAGATGTTGCTTGGTCATAGTGAAACTTTTGCAACAAACCAGAAGTGACTGCTGTAAATGAAATGGAGGGAGCTGCAGAGGGCCTTAATGCTAGCAGGGGTAATGGCAGGACATGGTTACAGCTTTTAAGCTTTCACTTCACCTCATTTGAGACCACGTAGCTTCCTGGCACCCTGCTCTGCTGTGTTCTCTTTAGGCAACACTCTCTGCCTGCAGACACTCCCATGTCAGCCTCCTCCTTTGCTCGGTGTTTGGTTCTGGTCTGAATTACTTTCAGATTCACAGAAATGTGAAACTTTCAAATTTGAGTTGTGAACTTGAAGCTCCTTGAGATCTAAAGTTATTTTATATTGGCTTGTGGAGCTTGGAGATAGGATTTTTATTGCTTTGGTTTGAGAAAAGATGCCCAAGAAACTTGGGGAAAGCTTAATCTGTTAGCCAACCCTCTTGAGGTTGTTTTTTGTTTTGCTAAGTGCACGTATGCATTAAACAGTCATTCTGTTTTTTTATATGCACAAACATTTCCACTTAGAATTTAGGAATTTGCATTACACTCATGTGAAGGAATAAAAACAGGCCTTCAGCATTGGAAAAAATGGTGATGGCAGAATGGTTAGCAGCACTAAGAAAGTCAGAATGAGGAAGTTCCTCATCTTCACCTTTTTCCTCTTGCCTTCTAACCATCAGATCACTCGACACCAGCCAGCCAGTCTCCTCACTCCTCCAACCCCAGCAGCTTGCCAAGCTCCCCTCCAACCCATAATCACAATTCTGTTCCCTTCTCCAACTTTGGACCTATTGGGACTCCAGACAACAGAGACAGAAGAATCGCAGACCGCTGGAAAACAGATAAGCCAGGCAAGTGCTGCATTCCAGGCCTGGAAGAAGCCAGCTGTCAGCGTTTGTTTTGCAATAGATTTGTTTGAATTTGTCTCTCTTCCCCATTTCAGCGATGGGAGGGTTTGGTCTGGACTACCTCCCAGCCACGTCCTCATCCTCAGAGAGCAGCTGGCACCAGTCCAGCGCTCCCAGTGGCACCTGGGCAGCCCAGGGCCCCGCTATGGAGGACTCCTCAGCTGTGCTCATGGAGAGCCTAAAGGTGTGTTGAACTGAAGCTGTGCTTGGGCGTGGGTGCTTGCCTATGGAAAGGGTGTGGTGTCATGGGATACAGGCAGTGTGCACTGCGTCTGAGTTCACTGGGACCTTGAAGGTTTTTTCCTGCAGATCCATAGCAGCGTGGGAGGTGTGACCAGTGCTAGGAGATGTCACAGTTCTGCAGTTCTGCTGTTCTTGAGTATTTTGTGGAACAAGAACAGGCTGGCAGAACTGAGAGAAATAACATTTGCTTTGACCAGTCTAAAATTAGTGATTGTTAATGTGCGATAGACTTTTCCGTTCACGAGGCAAGGGTAATCTTCAAGGGGAGCCTCTCTTCAGAAGGCCTTCTTTTGAAGTCTGGGTAACTTTCATGACAGGATAGGTATGAGTTGCAAAGGGAAGAGAGAACACAGAACAGTTTCTGCTTTTTCACCTGAAAGAAAAGGTCTGCCTCAAACCAGGAGGTGCTAGTGTTGACTGTTTGTTTTTAGTCCATCTGGTCCAGTTCCATGATGCACCCTGGACCCTCGGCCCTGGAGCAGCTGTTAATGCAGCAGAAGCAGAAGCAGCAACGTGGACAAGGCGCCATGAACCCGCCGCATTGAGAACGAGGTGGCAACCCTTGCAAACCAAGGCTCCATAAACCATGGCATGTTGGGTTTGCAGGACTGGCCCACACAGTCCTGTGCAGGTGGCAGCCCTCTCTTCTGTTCCTTGCTGTCAGGAGGGCGTAAGTGCTCCACCAACCCACTGAGTGTGCACAAAACGTCTGCAGTGCAAGCAAACAACATCAGGAACTCTCCCAATCCCTGGGCCCTCTGGAGGGAGAGAGGAACTGCTGTTTGTCTCACTCAGTGACCCGATATCACCGCCTCTCACCTTCTCCATCGTGCATGTCCCCAGCCACATGGGAAGCAAAAGCTGAGAACGAAGGGCAGATGGGAGAAGCTAATGAGAACTTCTCAATCCTTTTCCTCTCTTTGGGGATATAAAATAGGAATCCATTAATGATTGCTTTGCTGACTGAGAATGTAGTTGAAATTACTCCTAAACATCTTTATTACTATCTCAGTAGTAAGATCACACTGAATTCTTCCGTACACAGATGTGCTTTGTAGTCAGTGTGTAGCAGTGAAAGCCCCAGCTGCTGCTCCAGTCAGAGGTGGTTGGTGGCAAGGTGGGGCTCTATCTCCTGGGCTAGCAAAGGAGTTTCATGAAGGAGAGTCTGGCACTTGACACCACTTCACCTTTCACTCAAAGGCTTTGGCCGGCCCACGGGTGGGTTAGAGACTCCAGCATGAAATGCCCTCCTCTCAGTAGGTGTTTGAGCTGTAATGGGTGACGTGGGGCATTGCAGCACTCTGCTGGACGAGCAAGTTAACTGCTATGGGGTTTTAAATTAATGTTTGATTCCTGTACATTTTACTGTAGCAAAGTGGCTAGCCCCGCAAAGGGCAGGCTGCTCTGTGCATTCACAGCCTGACTCATTTTAATAGGTAGGTAGAAAGCTTTCAGTGTTTTTCATTTTTTCTTTCTCTCCCCATCCTTCCATCTTTGCTGGATGCTAGTAGTTTTATCGCCAGTGTGCAACATCTTGCAGAAAGTAATCAGGAGTCCAGCAGGACTGGGTAAAGACGACAGTCAGCCTGGACAGTGTGGAGTGTACGAACCCCACAGGCATACACCAGCTCTGCAGAAACCCGTCCCCCGCCCTCCCAGCAGCAGCCCTCAACTTCCAGTTCTAGAAGGAGATCTGAGGTGCCACGGACACGCGTGTGTAACCCGCGCACGGAAGAAGCATAGTGCTGTTCGCATATGAAAAGGTGCAGAAGGGAAAAGAAAATGTTTTATTTGCTATTTATTTAGGGGGAAGGAAGACTGGAAACGTCATTAAAGAAAAAGACAGCATTTTTGTTAGGTTTCCCAGGGAAGCGATCTCAATGTCCGTTTGCTGTGTTTAGCAATAGGGGTTTGTGTGATGATTCAGGATCTCTGGGCTGTAAGTCAGCTGCAAAGCAAAGCACACGCAGGAGCTTAAGTGACACTGGAGTCCGGGCGGCCCCAAAGAACGTAAAAAGGGAAAACTGAGGCCCAGTACCCTTCTGAGGGCGTGAGCAGCTCCCCCACGTTCTCCACCTTCGCAACATCACTGTTCTTTGTTGCATTTTGAAGATGTATTTCCTTTTAAAAAGTCCAAAAAGTGAAGTTTCCACCCAATGCTAATACTGACTAAGCCCCCCCCCCTTCCCCATCCCAGCCCCTCAGTTTGTGTATTGAGCCGTGCCCCCGGCTGCGACATTCCAGTGTTAGAAGTGCCGCTGACTCTTGCACCTCAGCGAGCTGACCAGGTTCACCACCTCACTCCTGGCAGTGCCAGGTCCCAACGCACTGCTCCACTTGTGCATGAGAACCCGGTGTCAGGAACACGGCTGGCTCTTGGCTGGGACTCCCATCCCGCCCTCCGGCGCCCTGGGGAGCGAGGGAAGGGACCCCAACAGAAACTGGTTTGTGTCGTAAGCTTTTTTTGTGTTTTTTGTCTGTCTGTGCAAGAACTGCAGCTGCTGAAATCAGCTTTGCCTTTAATTAAACCATGTTCTCTCCATCCGGGTCTGTGTGTTACGTTTATTTCCCCATGTAATTCAGCTGCAGGCTTTGAAAAACACGTTATTTTTCTGGAGAAATTGGAAGAAGGTTCGAACTTTAATTTTTTTTTTTTTTTTCCAGTTTGAAAGAAAATTAAATAAATTGCAGAGATTCTGGCTTGGGCTCAGTGCAAATAATTGGATCGTGGTTTTGTGCTGTGCTGTACAATGTGCTTTATGTATGGAACCAAAAGGCTGGGATGGTAGCAGCTTCCAGAGCTTAAATCTGATTAGAGCACAGGCAGCAGGAGCTGAAGGACACACAGCCTTCTGCTGTGGCCCTGCTGTAAATCAGGATGGCACCTGCACTGCTCCAGTTTTGAGAGGTTGTGAGGTTGGTTGTTTTTTTTTTTTTAATCCAGAGTAAGTTCCTTTTAAAATAAATATGAGATTTAGGTAATGCAGTTGTATAGGATAAGTGTTGATTGGTGCAGGGTGAGGCTGCATGGTGTCTCTTATTTCGGCTCTTGAGGCTAGCAGTGATGTTTTAAGGAAGTAGATTCTCTTTGCAAGCTCCTGGTCCAAAGCTTTCCAAGCTCCCCAGTCTGTTTTTCCCTGCTTTTCCATTGATTTTCACAGAACCACAGCATGGCCTGAGTTGAAAAGGACCACAATGCTTATCTAGTTCCAACCCCCTGCTATGTGCAGGGTCTCCAACCAGCAGATCAGGCTGCCCACAGCCACATCCAGCCTGGCCTTGAATGCCTGCAGGGATGGGGCATCCACAGCCTCCTTGGGCAAGCGGCTGATTTACTTTGTGGAAGCTCTGCCCAGGGCAGGTGAGTGGGGTAGAGCTGCTGCTACCAAGCCTGATGGTAAGCAAAGTCCTTGGGACTGACTGTACTCCTAGCAGGGAGATTGCTAGTGACTTTTTTTTTAATGTGTTTTATACATAGCAACACAAAAGGTAACACACACACAAAAATGAAGATTTTAATACATGTAGCAATAATATTCTAGGTCTGTTTTCAGATGCAGTGATTAATGTGGGAACTTCTTAGTTGCAACATTTGAATTCTTAATTTCTTTCAGTGTCCATGTCTCCTTACACTTCTGAAATCAGATCTCTGGGTCTTTAGTGTTACCATCACAAACAAAAGCAGAGGGGAAGATGCCTATCTTGCCATTGCATTGCCCTTCCAACCAGTCTTCATTCACTGCAAGATAAAATTGACACCATTTTTATCACCCTAGGGATGTGCAGGAGCACGATTACCCATTTTTAAGATCATCTGCAGGTAAATAGCCTGGTGGAGAGGTGACAGGAGACAGGGAGGAGGAGTGCAGAAGAGAAAGAGACAGCAAAGTTTATGAGGTAAGAAAAACCTCAAAAGAAAAGCAGCCAGGAAAGGGTGCCAAGTGAGAGGAATTGGAATGACAGCGCTCTGGGCATGGTGCAGGGTCAGAAGGAAGCAAGAATACACTGATCAGCGATCTTGAAGACAGCTGAAGTGAAACTCTCCCATCTTGCAATTGTTAGGACAGCAGGTTGTGTGTCCTTTCCCTTGGCTTCCACCTGCTGTCCCTGTGACGTTTTCTGACTGGTCTGAAGCCTTTGCATTCGATGCAAACCTTCTCGCCCCATTTTCCACCTGGAGGTGGCAGACTGCAGTTTGTTACCTTTGGATAAAACAAGTATCACATCTCCAGCCTGAAACTCCAGGTCTTCAGGCTGTGTGGCCTCGTAACTGTACTGTGCTACTACTTGGGTTGGTCCCGTCTCTGCTGTTGCCTTCTGCGACTCCTCTGGTTTGCTGTCAAGTAAAAATCCCTCTCCCTAGGGCAGGAAAGAAGCTGGTGAAGTCACCCCGTGGCTTCTGCTTTGCACCAGAAAGTGGCAGATGAGCTCTGCTTAGGCTTCAGCCTGTGCCAGTGAGCCCCTTGTCAGCACCAGCAGAAGAGCTGGTCGCTGCTGCTGACCTCTGTGCAGTCACACCACACCGTCAGGCACCGATCCTTGCTGTGGTTCCATGCTGCCTCTAGGTTCTGCGTGCTCAGAGTCACCAGCTCTCTGCTAACTGCAGGCTTGTACCTGGGCACCGGAGGAACAGGTAAGGGGACAGCCACAAAAACTCAGCTCCTGCAGCAGGCAGTTCTCACCTCAGCATTGTGTGCTCAGGCTGCAGCTCCAGCTTGTCGCAAACCAGGTCCAGGAGCTCCTTGTAGGACAGGTCTGGCTTGACTTGCGTGGCAACTGTGTATTTGTAATGCACCTTGAGAACGTAGGGCTTGGGGACGGCCGGTTCGGTTTCCTGCAGGTGGGGAATTGAGGCGTCAGGGATCTCCCTGCTCCCACAGCATGGGGAGCTTGGCTATGGGCAGGGAAAGGAACTGGGGCATAGGACTGCTGAGTGACAGCTGAGCTCAAGAAACCATCTCACTGAATGCTGGCAGTCCTCAATACTTCTGGAGCAGGCCACCAAAGCCATGCTGCGCGTGTGGCTGGTTGCCTGCCCTGGGTTTGGCCTGGCAGTGAATGCAGCAATGCACTGGGCACCTAGTGACCGCAGTGTGGCTTCCCAGTGAGTGGGCTCAAGGTGTGCCCCCACCCCTCTGCACTTGTTCTCATTTGGGATACTGCTTCTCCTGGAAGAGACCTCCCAAGCTGTACATAACGTGGATCTGGGCTCTGCCTTCCACCACAGCACAAGGTCTTACCTTATTGGCTTCTCTCTGCTGCGTTGATGCAACAGGAACGAAGTCTGAGGAGGCAGGATAAGGTAGGTCAACAAGTGGAACAGCATAAGCATTACTGCTGTGGGCTTAAATGTGTTTCCAGATCCTCTCAGCCCTTCAACACCCACTGTCATCTGCAGCAGCACCTCCCAGCCCTGAAGCCAGCTGTGGTTGCTCGAACAGATCGGTATCAGCTGCAATGAGGTTCTTCTGTGGGATTCTTCAGTAACCACTGAGAAAAGAGGTTAGGGCTCTGCCTTGCCTGCTGTATTTCAGGTGCTCACATGGTAGGGCCTGTTCTGTGTTTGTAGGAATTGGAACATTAGGTGGGATGCAGTTCCTCAATGGGCTTTGACATACCAATGCATTTGTAAGCACAAACAGTGATCTGTCTTGCCCACTGTCACATGGCTGCTTCTGGCAGCTAATAAATAACCTTAAATATGGGAATTTGCAGACAAAACAGGAGCCCTAAGCCACACTTTCAGCTGGCAGTGCCTGCCTTGGTTCACCATGTTCAAGTATCTGCGTGGCCCTGGTGCCACCACCCCTGCCCCAGGTGCTGAGACACACCAGCCACATCTCCTTCCTGTAGCTCCCTAGAACTTGGCCTAGCACTAAGATAATCCCAGCTGCCCTGCTTTACGGAGAAGCCTGTAATTCACATTCTGCTCTGGGTCTTATGCAAGCTGGGTCACTTGCCCTGCTGCTTTCCCTAGGCCCTTTTTTCCATTAGCTGCTGCCCTAATTAAAAGCAAAAAGAGGACCTCGAGCTTTATTTTGTTCCATCCTCAGTGCTGCAGTTGCAGTATTGCCTCCTCTTTTAATGCCCGCACCCCAAAAGAAGCAGGGATGGCCCCCAGCCCTGGTTCTCCATAGGACACAGTATAACAAGAGACTGTCCCTACAGCTTCCCCCGTTCCTTCCCTCCTTACACTGACCTGGTGCTGGCCGCCGGGGCCTTGGAGCAGTGCTGCTGGGTGGCTCAGGGATGTCAAGCTCAGGTGGGGCTTCGTCCTGTGCCGATAGGAAAAGGGCAGCACTGGCACTCAGCATCCCTAGGGGAGCAGGTACAGTCCCCGGGGTGCTGCTGCCTTGGGGACCCCCTCCTGCCACTCGAGGCAGGAGTCCTGGGGCTGAGTTCTGCCTACTGTCCATTGATTTGGGGTGGAACAGGGCAGTTCTGGTCTCTGTGAGAGCAAACAAGGACAGTTTTTCAGAAGACAGTGCCATTTAGGAAGCAGTGTCTGATGAGTATGTCCAGACCTGTTTTCTCAAGGTGTGTTTGGAGTTTTGAATCAGTGAATTGCAGGGTGAATTCACTGCCCCTTCACCTCCCCAGTGCTACCACCTCCCTCCCCAGGGATCATCAGCATGGTGTCTGCACAGATTTTGCAGGCTCTGAGCTTGTGCTGAAAAGGCCATAAAACCAGGCGTCCCACAGCATTGAAAGGAAGAAAGGTTTGAGGCGTGGGTCCTGCTGGGTGATCTATGTGATGTCCTGGGGCCACCAGCTTCTCCTGGGCTCCTTACCTGGACGTGCAGCTTGTGCTGGAGCTCCATGGGCTCAAGGAAGTTGCAGGGGACAATCCCTTTCTGCAGGGAAGAGACAAGGGAGGAGCATTGTTGGGACTCAGGGGTTAGTGGCTGCCTGGGGTGAAAAGGTCGTCTAGTTTCAGCCCTGTGAATAGCCTTGGATCATCTTGAGATGATTACTTGACCATCCAGGAGACTGAAGATAAGGGAATGATTTCTGTGTGGTACTTATGATGGGCAGCTTGGGCACACGTGGTCAGGCAAGCAAAGCAGCACATCTGGCCCCTGCCTGGTAGGAGCAACAGGAGCAGGACACCAGGAGGTTCCTTCTACCAGCCTATAGCCATCTGCCCTCAGATTTCAATACAGGATGCAGGGAAACTGGGTTCAGAAACCCCATAATTGCCCTACCAGTCCTCTGTAGTCCCTTTGTGCCAGCAGACCCCCATACCTTCCCATTAAACATCACCGTAGCCCAGTTGTCCTTCTCTTTCTTCAGAACAAAGACGATGTTTCCAGGCAGGACCTGCAGCTCCTCAGCAGTTTCAGGTATGAACTCATACAGGACGCGGTGCGGCTGCCCTTCAAGAGCCCTGGAATGGAAGCCAGCATCATGTCAGGAGGGGAGGTGATGCCGCTGTTCTACCTCACAGGGGGCCTAAGCTCTGCTCCCTCATTTCTCTCCTCCTCTCTCCCACTGGTTCTGAACACTCAGCTGGATGGTGCAGGACATGGCTGCACCAGGCTGTTTGTTAGCAATGCTGCTGATGTTTCATCCGACCTACCTGAGGATTTCCAGTGTCTTGGGCCTGGGTGGAGGCCCAGAAGCCTGTGAACAAGAAGACAGAAGGAAATCCGTCATAATCTGGAGGATTTGGGTTGCTTCGCAGAAACGTCCTGCAGTCCTTTCCCGTGCCTGTCGTCCTCCCTGCGTGGGTCCCTCCTTCTCTCACTGGTATCAGGTCATCAGTTTCCTTCTCCACTCAGCCCTTATGAATCTTACGGGAGGGTTTGTCACCTCCCCGAGCTCCCAAAGGCCCACCCATGGCTCAGGGCCTGGCTTCCCCATAACCTCAGCTCAGACATGAGTAGGCTTGGGCTGTGACCTCTGGTGAAGGAAGCAGCTGAGATGTGGGAGTAGCTTCCTCCTCACTCTGGCCGTGGTAGGAAGTTTGGGGTGGTGACGCTGCTCTTTGCTCACCACTCTCATCCAGATGTCCCCCACCCCCAAGTATGCCCAAAGCTCTGCTTGGTATCCCTGTGTATGCTTGAAGCTCTCTGCACCACATGGACTGCAGGGCATTGATTCCTTACCTGCGGTTGGAGGGGAGCAAATCCTGAAAAACTGTCCTTGTCCACCACGGATGCCACCACCTACAGCCAAAGGAAGACATGCTGTGACTTGGTGCTCCTCTTAGACCTCTGATCTCTGACATCCACTGTCCTCCTTTGCTTCCATCCAAGTCAACCTCTTTGGGTGTGGGTGCTCTGGGTTTGCTTTCCGTGGCAGCGCTGGCACTGGGGTGTCCATTCTGCCTCCCAGTGCCTGAGCTTGAGGGTGCACCCTCGTGCTTGGACCTTCCACAGTAATGTGGGAGAAGCCCTGCTCAATTGTCTGAGCTGCTTCAGGCTGAGCAGAGCCAGTACTGGAGGTTACTTGCGGGTGTCAGATTTTAAATAATTCCTTTTTTTTTTTTTTTAATTCCCTTGTGCACCAAATATCTTGGCTCGGTTTGAAGCTCTGGTGGGACCTTCCCATCTCACCACTGAGTGACCATCCCTCACTTCTCATTAAGGAAAGTGAAAATGGGCCATGCTGAGCCACACAGATAAAAGGGTGTTTCTGTGAGCTTAACTCTGCTATTCCTACATAGTCCTGGTGCCTGCAGCATCCCCAAGGTTTGGGCTGGCTTTGCATCTCTGTGCTCAGCAAGCACAGCTCAGTTCTTGGTGGCTGTAAGGCAGAGAGGGCAATCGGCATCTCTCTTCAGCCTGCAGACGTGGCTAGCATTAATGCTCCTTTCTTACCATGGCTTTTCCCAGGTAGTCCTTCTTCTCCAGTTGAGCAACTTGCTTTTCGTTTGGTCGAAACAGCTTCCCTGTGGGAATTGCCACTGGCTCATAGAGCTTCTGCTTCTGAAGCAGGGAGAAATCAAAGAACCATTAAGGTTGGAAAAGCCTTTTAAGATCATCTAGTCGTGGACCTCCATAGGCAGGCACTGAGCTGAGACCTGCTGCTCCTCACCAAGATGGCTTCCATTGCCCTGTCAATCTTGTTGTGCTGGGGCTCACTCTTTGAGCTCATTGCCAGTGTCAGATGCTCCTCAGCTTTCTTCCAGTCCTCCGTGGTCGCATACACCAGTGCGATGTTGTAAAGGATCTGCAGAGGGATGGGAGCCAGAGAATGGTCTTTTAGAGGCACTAGACCCTTGCTGTGGGTGTTTTTTGCTACCCTGATGACATCTTGGGTAATACCAGCTCTCTATTCCTACTCTAGCATGCTTGATTTTTTTGCAAGGCATGAATTGTAGAATCCTTCAGGTTGGAAAAGACATCTCAGTTCACCAAGTCCATCCCCATCATGCTCACTAACCACGTCCCTCAGTGCCACATCTTGGACACCTCCAGGAATGGTGACTCCAACACCTCCCTGGGCAGCCTGTGCCACTGCATCACCACTCTTTCGGAGGAGAAATGTTCCTAATGTCCAACCTGAACATCTCCTGGCACAACTCGAGGCCATTCCCTCTCATCCAATTGCAGTTACATGGGAGCAGAGGCCGACCCCACCTCACCACAGCTTCCTTTCAGGCAGCTGCAGAGCAGTGAAGTCTCCCCTGAGCTCCTCTTCTCCACACTGCCCCGTCCCATTCCCTCGGCTGCTCCCCATCGCGCTGTGCTCCACACCCCACGCAGCTCCATGCCATTCTCTGGACATGAAGAGTCCAGTGAAAAACCATTGGGTGCATTTCCCCTGGATTTTGTTGACCGAGACTGAAACACCGTTTGGTTTCCATCACCTCACAAGCGAAGAGCCTGTAGCGCAGCCCCAGGATCTTGTAGTCGATGAGCTGGTTGCCTCGCAGCTGGGCCAGAGCCTCCTTGAAATCCTTCATGGCCATTTCATAGCTGGGGAGGAGAGGACGAGGTAGAGGCTCCCAAGGCCCCTCCACCTCCTCGTGACGGTGTTCTGGTAGCCCACGTAAGCACTTCACCTCAGGGCTGAGTCCTCGGCCCCCCACATTGCCCACGGCTGCTCAGCCAAGAGCCACCAGCTGAACGGGGGGGGGTAAAACCGAAGCCATGCACTCACTTGTGTCTCTTGTAGAAGACGTTTCCCCGCTGGAAGTAGGCCACGGCCAGGTGCTTGTCACAGCTGATGCTCTGGGTGAGCGCCTGCAGGGAGCGGGGCAAGAGGAGCGAGAAGGGAACATCTGCAAGGAGAACTGGGCGACGTGTCCCCGCAGCACTGGGAGCTGTGCCTTACCTCCTCTGCCTCGGCCAGCTGCCCCAGGACCAGGTGGGTGCAGCCGATGTTGAAGCAGATTTTGGCCGGTGGGTTCTGGACGGCGGTGAAGGCCTTCAGGGCCGCGTGCCACTCCTTGCCATCCGCAGCACACACCCCCTCCTGCCACAGCCGGATGGTCTCCACCAGCGACATGATGGACGTGGTGCGCCCAGCCTTCCCCGCGGTGTCTGCCTCCCTCTCCCAGCCCCTCCCGGCTGCACGTCTGCCTTCCCACGGCCCGCCTGGTGTCACAAACCCACCAGGAAGTGGCCCTGGTGGTGTCAGAGCAGCGTGGCCCCGAGATGGGGAAGTGGAACTGCCCTGCTGCTACGGGCTTCCACTTGGGGCTGTGCCTGCATTGCAGCTTCTCCTCCTCGGGTTGTGCTTCTGGGGGCTTTCTGTGGGGGTGCCAGCATTGGAGGGGTTTATTGGCTTGAGGTTGGCCTTGCAAAGCTGTTTGGTGAGTGCTGCAGCCCATCATAAGCGTTTCGTAAGAATCTGAAAGCTGTCAGCAAGACTTTGCCCTTGTGTATTTATTCAGGCTTCCCCATAGATAATGCCAACAGCAGGAGGGAGAGCGTGGAGGAGACTTCTGCTCTACTGCTCAGAAGAAACCTGATCTGCTGAGGGCTGGGTTTGAAGAGTGTGATAGAGCGCATCTGCAGACCTCCGTGCACCCTCATGGCCTCCCTGCAGGGCTCTGCTCTCACACTCCCATCCAGCAATGGTTCCCCCCTGTTGGGGTGCTGCCCTGCTGGCTGGGCTATCTGCTAGCCCAGGTTGATCCCAGAACTGGAGCCAGGGATGTGGGGGAGGATGTAAGATCCCTCCTGTGGAAAGTGCTCATTTCACCTGCATTTTGCACACAGATGAGATCTGAAGCACAGCAAGTGCACATAGCAACTGCTCCTTCTGCTAATTTTAACCTCACATACAGCTTCCAATTTTGAAGCTGTGATAAGCACTGCCTTTCTAGTAACAGAGCAAGCCTCTTGTTCCCCTTTCTCTCAGTTTAGTAGAAGGAGAAACCTATTTGTCTGAAGTGAGGAATGTGGATGTTACCATCTGCGTTGTGAGCCTCTTGAAGCACAAGCACAAGTCACTGAGAGCTGGTAGGAATGGCACAGGACAGCCTGAAATCCAGCGAGTGTGCAGTAGTCGCCTTTAAGTTTGCGCTGCAACAGTATGCATGGTTTTATCATCATTGCTGGAGTGAAGAGACACAAAAAGAGCCCAGATCAGCACTTCCTCGTGTCCTACATCTGCATCTCCAGGGATAGGAGTGTGCCCATCATGTGACGCTGCTCTGGAGGCAGATGGGTGAGCAGGGCCAGCATGATGCACCGTGCTGTGATGTGAGCACAGCGTGCTCCTGAGCTCACTGCCCCTTCCCGTTTCAGTCAGCAGCAGTCAGCAGAAGAGAGGCCTTCCCTCAGCTCTGCCCTCCTACGCTGCGCCTGCAGGCAGGCTCATTTCGTGCATCCCTGAGCACACAGGAACAAAATAAACACATCTTTATAACCGTTCCTAAATACTTCATAGCATACCCTGAGGGGAATCTGGAAAACCTGAAGATTGCTCTTCCGCTGCCTTTCTTAGTCCAATGCCACACAGAGGGAGCCAGTCCACTGTGACTTTGCTTGGTTTTGGAAAGTTGATTACAGGTTCATCCCCTGGAGATGCCAGAGATGAACACAATCCCAACCATGAGATCAGGACTTTCACCCCCTGCAACAACCCTGCCTGTTTTTCTCCTTTAGGGAAGGCATACAGCATCAGTGGCTGGGAACGTCACTCCATAGTTAAAGTCTGAGTGCAGGCAGGGACACCTCTAGCAATCCTGGTTTGGAACATCTCCTGTTGTTTAAATGTCTTGAAACAACCTCAGATTTTCTTGTATGCCACGTATTGCCATGACTTAAAGGAGAAACATCTGCTAGAAAGCAAGCTTAGCAAGATAAATAATGGAGGGGAGAAGCTCTAGGGCTTGCTTTTTATCTTTGGTCAGCCCTTGCATTCAGCTGCCTGCAGAATTAAAAAGAAGTTAGCCTCAAGATATTTCAGACTCCAAGTAAATATTCAGTGACGATTTATTTGTCTGGTCTTTATTACAAAAAAAAAAAAAAAAAAAAAAAAAAAAAAAGCAGATATCAAAAAACAGCAAAGAGTTTACAAGTCCCCCAACCGTTTCACACAACGGAACTGTTGTAAAATGGCAAATGTAAAACTGTGTGTCTCAGTCCTGGCCCTAACCTTCAGTGGTGAGCTGTGGGCTGGGATGCCCAGGGCTTCCTTAATTCCTTTTTAAAATACTCCTCTTTATTTTGGAACTTTCATTTGTCTACTAATGCGCTGTGGTACAGCAGGAATGTCAACTGTCTGGTAAGCCTCAAGACTACGTCCCTTTTCTTCTCCTGTGTAGGATCTTTAGTTCCCAAAATAAAAAGCTTCCTGGACTGGGCTCCAGTGTAAATGGACCTTTAAATTCTAGCATACGAAGTGCAGGAAGGACAGCTCCACCCTCGCTGTGATCTGCCTGCTGTTCACCTGGCCCCTGACTGAGCACAGCACGTCGGAACAGGCCACGAGGTGTGAGGTTAAGGAAAATACCTGGCTTACTGGAATGACGATCGGTCAGAGGGAAGCTGCTCTTTTCTGTCCTACTCACTGCTGTAGGCTCAGAGGCTGACCAAAGGAAACATGGTCCAGTTACCAACGTTTGCAGCTGCCCCACTTTTCAAATATTTATCTTACATCAGAACACTGCTTGGCTAGCAAAAAGGATTAAGACATTGCCCTACGTCCCTCAGCACTTGTGTGGAAAGTCAGGCCCAAATCTGCCATAATTATACACAAATACAAATCAATCTAAACATGTTGTCAATGTAGCTATGCGTGTCACTGAAATGCTCGAGTACCAAATAGTCCTGTTAGAAATAAAATTGCACCTTCATAATTTTCCAGAGTTTAACAAAAAGAGATCACGATATGCATTACTTGTCAGGTACGAAAGAAGCAGCGAGAAGGCAAGCTGAGAGACAGGTGCTGCCCACGGGGCAGCAATGGCATCTGGGTGGGTTTTGCACCAGCATTTCCCACACCACGGAGAGCAAACAGCCATTTGCTGCTGGAGTTAAACCGTTTTCCTGGCAGTCAACACACGGACGATGGACCCCAATCCACCAGCAGCCAGTGCCTGAGAAGAGAAACATGGCAGTGAGCAGCAAGTCGTGGCTACAGACCCAACCAGCTGCTGGTTGGACTTCCCCACCGTATACAAATAAGCACCTTTCAGCAGCTCAAACCCAGAACAACAACAGGGAAGCATGGCTGCATTCATTTTAGGGACAGCAAGTTAACACGCTTTTGTTTCCCTGCCTAACTAAGTTGCAAATTTGGCTTCCCTCAAGGAACGAAATTCTATTTCCTTCCCCTTGAACCACTATGTTGAACTATTTTGTTTGCCCCAGTCTGACTTAAAAAAATACACATAAATCAAACTCTAAATGCAGGATTGTTACTTAAGGAATCAGAAGAATGAGGAAGAACAACAGAACTCTGAACGTGCAGGACTCCTCACTGCGGGAAACGCAGCACTTGGCTGTTGGCACAGTGTGGTTATGGACAACTCCGAGCTGGTCAGAAGGGACAGGTGAGGAAGGAAGGGAGGTGTTCCTTCTCTATCATGAGAGGAGCAGAGTGCTCATCAAGAATGGCTACAGACAAGTTGAAAGCTTACGGGTGGGAGTTAAGAGACCAAGGAAACAAAGGGAGCAAGAAGAAAATGCACTGGCAAAGGAAGCAGGGACAGGTACCCCAGGAGGAGTACAGGGATGCTGCTGGGCTGTGTAGGGGTGGGGTCAGGATGGCTGAGGCCCAACTGGAAGTGGGTTTGGCAAGGGACACAAAGAACAAGAAAGCGTTCTACAGGTACATCAGCCAGGTACTGACATCCTTAGGGGTCAGTACTGGAACTGGTGTTCTTTAATATCTTCATCAGTGGGACCGAGTGTGCCCTCAGCAAGTCTGTGGGTGACACCAAGCTGTGTAGTGCAGACAACGTGCCAAGGGATGGGATGCTGTTCAGAGAGACTTAGATAGGCCAAGCAGCAGGCCCAGGAGAGCCTCATGGGGCTCAACAAACCCAAGTGCAAGGTCTTGCAACTGGGTCATGGCAACCCCTGCTATCAGTGCAAGCTGGTGGATAAAGGATAGAGTGCAGCCCTGATGAAAAGGTCTTGGGGGCTGTAGGGAAACTGCTAGGTCACAATGTGAATTGGTGATTGAGCACCTGGTTGAAGGGGTGTGGCTGGGCCAGGGAGAACAACCAAATTGTTTGCATCTGTGCTTCCCATATGATCAGAAGGGGTGGAGCCAGGGTGGCTCCACCCTGAGCTCACATAAGGGCCAGCCATGGAAGGGTGAGCATCTCTTGGGTTACTTCCTGGGGAATGCTGAGTACTTAGAGAGACTTTTCTCCAGTTTAACTCTTTATACGGTATTAGCCTACCTGCAAATACTTCACTTGCTATAACTAAGAACCTGTCAGAAGCAATTCTGCTTCTTCGTAAGTCAAAATGGGGTACTGGTGGACGGCAGCTGGGCATGAGCCACTCATGTGCCCTTGCAGCCCAGGAAGTCAACTGTATCCCTGGCTGCACCAAAAGCAGCATGGCCAGCAGACTGAGGGAGGTGATGCTGCCTCTCTACTCTGTGCTGGTGAGACCTCATCTGGAGTACTGGATCTAGATGTGGAGTCCTTGGTACGGCAGAGACATGCTCCTGCTGGAGCACATCCGGAGAAAGGCTACAGAAATGACCTAAGGGATGGAACACCTCCTCTGTGAGGGCAGGCTGAGAGCTGTGGCTGTTCAGCATAGAGAGGAAAAGGCTCTGAGGAGACTAAGAGAAGCATGTCGCTATCTAAAAGAGGGCTGTAAGAAAAAAGGGGACACTTCTTAGCAGGATCTGTTTTGACGTGACAAGAGAAAATGGTTTCAAACTAAGAGGGGAGGTTAAGACTGGATATAAGGAAGAAGTTTTTTACGATAAGGGAGGTGAAGCACTGACACAGGTTGCCCAGAGATACAGTGAGTGCCCCGTCCCTGGAGACACCCAAGTTCAGGTTGGGCAGGGCACCGATGGAGCTGCAGGTGTCCCTGTTCAGTG